GCACTGACCTTTTCTGAATGCCCAGTGCCATCCCAGCCAGCAATACATAGGTGATGAAGGCCATTGCTGCCAAGAGCCAGAGAGAGGCCATCAGCCTGGTTTCCTCAACCAGAGCCCTCCCACCTGGGCACTGAGGCCACGGATACCCCTATCTTTCCTCCCCGCATGTCCCAACCTGACCTTCACCCTCAGCCCCCCGGCACCCCGCCCCTGTACCCCGCCTGGGACGCCTTTCCCAGCTCGGACCAGAGCCCCGTGTAAATGCCACCTGGTCCTCTTCTCAGGACCAAGGCCCCTGCCTCCTGCCAGTGCTAGGAAACTCACCAAAAGTTTCCACCAAAAGAAACATCACTGGTCAAGGCTATTGCTCCTCCTAGACCCACAGGCAGGGGCCAGACTATCCCAGGAAAAACTTGGGACCAAAGTGCAGGTTGGAGGGACGACCCAGGCTGTCCCTAGGTCCAGGCCAGGGGTGGCCTCCCTGCAGCCAGCTCTAAGTCTGGACATGGGTGCCAGCTACAGCTCTGGCCTCCCTGCCACTCAGGGCCCCGTGTAACTCCTTCCACCAAAGCTCGGCCTCTGGGAGCTGGGCTCTCACAGCTTTTCCTAGTAACCCATCAGTCCTGCCCTCGGCCAGCTGAAGCACCAGCTCTGATGTGTCCACCAGAGGGCAGTGTTGGGGTCAGGAAACCAGTTCTACCACCTGCAAGATACTCCAGTCTGGGAGCTTGGTTTCTCCCTGTAATAGGGGAGCGGAGTTTCCACCTCACTCGGCGGCCCGGAGAGGGAAATGGAAGGAAGGACGGAGAGGAACCCGTCCCTCCTCGGGCCCTGGGCTGGCTGGCTGCCCTCGGCAGCTGCTGTGCGGGCCGGCCGGGCACTCTCCAGAGCAGTTAGATGTGGAGTCTGCAGGCCCGGCGAAGTGTGGACAGGAAGTCTGGGAGCTCAGAGGGAGGGGCTCTGAGCAGGCCGGGGGCCGTTAGTACGCCTCCTGCGGGCCAGGGCTGTGCTGAGCGCACCTCCTCGCTAAGGCGCCACACCCCCTTTCAGAAGGAACTGCTGTCATTTTCCTTTCAAAGCGAAAGGAGCCAGGTGAGGTCCAAGTCCAAGGCTCCAGGCTGGGGAGGGAGGCAGGGAGGGGTGAAAGGGTGTGCCCCGGGGTCGCTGAGGGCGCACCCCGCAGCTCCTGCCTGGTCAGCCCGCTGTCTGCCCGGTATTGGGTGAACGCCTCGCACAGAAGCACCAGGAGCAGGTGCTGTTCACACCCGGCCCTCTCCTCGTCGGTGCCCCCGCACACCCAGGCCCGGCCAGACTCACTGGGAATATAGAGGTCGGGGGCGTTGAGGTCTTGTCTCGGGGGCAGAGGGACATCACGACTGTACTGCACCTCCCAGTTCTGGCCGTGGCGCGGCAGCCGAGGGAACAGACAGGGGAGGAGAGAAGGGTGAGGTGGGGGCCAGGGTCCGGAGCAGGATGAGGAGGCGGGGCTGCCGGCTCACCTGGTGCGTGTAGGGGAAGACCAGCAGCCCTAGCTTCTTGGCCACATAGGCTGTGTCCACAGCGAAAAAATACTTGAGTTTGTTGACAGACACAAAGCGGTGCAGCTGGGAGGGAAGAGAGAGGAGGCCGTGGGCACAGGGCCCCGGCCCTCAGGGCGCTCTCCGCGGGCTCCAGCCCCAGGGATGCGGGGGGAGCGGGTGGGGTTCCGTGAGGCCCCGCCTGGGCCAGGAATCCTGCCACCCTCGCCCTGGGGGGCACCACACCTCCTTGTGCACAATGTCCTTCCCGTGGGAGGCGATGGAGCTGCCGTAGGCCATGGCCACGTTGGCCACTGGGTCCCCGAGCAAGTGGTTGACATTGAAGGCCACGTCGGCTCCCGGGGCTGGGTATCCTCCCGGCTGGAGGGGGTAGCCGCCGCTTGTGTCATCGAAGAGGGGAGGGGGGTCCGGAGCTGCCCGGGTCCTGTGCTTGGAGCCTGCGGGTTTGCAGGTGGCGGAGTAGGAGTAGGTGACGGGAATACTAAGCATGAGCCCAAACCATCACCCCCTTTCCCCAGGGCTGGTTCTCAGAGGAGCCAAATGGAGGGAAGAGAGCTGAGGCCGGGCCGGGGGTGGCCGCCGGCCTCGGGGCTCCCGGGGCCTCTCCGGCCTGGGAGAGTGAGGGGTTTGCTAGGCGGAGAAGGCCACTGCGAGGGCATCTCCAAGTGAGCAAAGGTGGGAAGGGCGGGGCTGGGTGCCCGAAGGCCCGGGCAATGCTCGGGGACCCAGCGGGGTCCTGACAGGGAATGGAGGCGGCCCTGGTGGTGCCGGGCCCGGAATGGGGATCCAGCTGTGCTGTCACTGCCCCATCTCCAGATCGGCCGAGAGGGCGAAGTCCAGGACCCGTGGTCGAGTGGAGCCCTAATGACACCCGCCGCCCTGGGCAGCGGGCGGGCCGCCCCTTCCCCTCGGGGTGAGGGCCGCGCCGCCGACCCTCCGGAGGCGGTCGGGCCGCCCCGCCCGCCCCACGCACCGTGAGCTCCGTAGCCGGAGTGATAAGCCATGGCCGCGACGCTCGCGCTCCGGAGGGCCCGCCGCGCTGCCCGTGGGCACGGACACTAATGAGGCGGCTGCTCCGCTCCCCGAGCACCGGCCGGAGTCACTGAGCAGCCCGACACGTCCCCGGCCTGGGAGACCGCGGCCGCCATGTCGGCAGCGTCATCGTGAGCCACCGCCTATTGGTCCTCCGGCGGCGGCGGCCCGTCCCTCCCCCTCTCCCAATTGGCTGCTGCCAGCCCGTCGCCGCAGCGGATTCGGCAGCGGCCAACTTCCGGGAGGGGCGGGAAGCGGAGCAATTCGAGGTGCTCTCCGATTGGATAGTGGATTCGCTGGTTCGGCGGAGCAGCCAATAGGCAAGTTACTGTAGAAGGGTGTTGAGAGTTACTTCCGCGCTTGCGCAGTGCGCACTTGATGCCAGTCTTGCCACGACTACACCCAGCGGCCGCCCGGCGTGGACCGGCTGCGGCTGGGATCCGGAAACGGAGTTTCACTCGGCGCACCTGCTCCAGGAGGGAAGGGGGTAGGGTTCTGGCCGAGCCCCGCCCCTATGCTCTTTTGCCCCCCCTCCCTGCCCGCTCTCAATAGCCGCTTCCCTCCCGTCCCCCGCACCCCGAGTCCTGGCACGGGGCCCGGGCTGCCTGGAGGTGTTGGCAGGAGGCCGGACCGGGCAGGGACGGCACAGCCCAGCGAGCCGGGGACGCTGACTCCTCCCGCCTCCCACCGTTTTCCTGCGCGGGTGCTGTCCGTCGTCGGGTGCTGAAACGATCTCCTGCCACTGACGCCATCCTGCAGACCCCGCCGGGGGCCTGCTGCTGAAGGTCCTGGGCGCCCGATCCACACCAGCACCACTGCACACACACATTGAAAAACCGAGCTCCCGAGATTGGGTGGTATAGCTGGGACCGGATCCTGACCAGGCCTGCTTTCTGGCACAGGCGGTGGAGATGTGCTGCACTGGAACACCCGAGTCACTGCTGGCCCTGCGGTCATCCCGGTCATCTCGAAGGGAGACTCCCACCCCAAGCCTCACTCGTGATCCCTGGGCCTCCCTTCTCTCCACCCAGCTTCTGACCACTCAACCTCCCCGGAGCCAGTCCTCGGGGACCAGTCTTCTCACCGGCCGCAGACACCGCTTTCTAGAGAGCGAGATCAGGGCGTCTGACTTCCCTCTAGTCAGCTGCCCAGTGTCCAGTTACCCCAGGTGACGTCCTGGCCCACGTGGTCCAGTCTCAGTGCCTTTGCCCAAAGTCCCCTCCAGCAGGGATGGCCTTCCTCCTCACACCCAGTGTCCAAGGTCTAGCTGTCCTTCAGTCAGTCCGCCTGTGCCTCTCTGGGAGGCGAAGAGGAGACAGGCCTAACCTGGCTTGGGGTGGAGGCTGGAGGTCAAGTTCTAGGTTCCCTTTGGCTGCAGGTTTGCCCTGCATGTGACGCCCACGAGGACAGGGCTGGGTCATTCTCCTCCTGCCCTTGTCTTCTCAGTGCCAGGCACATACCTGCATACGGAAGACACCCCATAAACATCGGTGCCGATCAACACGAACGAATGGATAAACCCGGGGTCAGGCCTTCCTTCTCTCCACCTTTTCAGTTACCTCAACTGTAGTGGGCAGGCGTGTTGAACCGAATTGCCTTTGAATTGCCCTTTGCGGGGGAGGGGCAAGGGAATCACAAAACAAAACCTGCCTGCATTGCAGCTCCCCACGTCCCACCCACCGATGGTCTAGCTCGGGGGCCAGGCCCAGAGGCAGGCACAGGTGTGCAGGTCTGAGGCCTGAGGGCCAGGGAGCAGCACTGGAGCCACAGGTCCCGGGGAGGAGGCCTCCCCCCCAGGACAGCCCCCTCCCCCCAACCGTGTGAGGGGTGTTTGTGCTTTGATTGAATCTGGCGCCTTTCCATCTGCGCTCCTCAGGGTGGGAAGTGAGGCTGCGGGTGGAGAGTGCCCCCCAAGGTCACACCTAGGGTCCTGGGCCCGTCAGCTGCGCTCAGTGGAAAACGAGCCGCTGTCCAGCTAGTGGGGCTCTACCTCTGTCTGGGCTGCACCTGCCCCCTCCCCTAAAGCCAGGCTTCCGGGCTGGGGGCTGGGTGGCCAGGCTGGGCCTGCTCCTCAGCAGTAGACACCTCCTTGGAAATCTTCCTTCTCATGGCACGGCGGGGCAGGGGAGCGGGAGGAGCTCGGCCCGGATCTCAGGCGCAAGCGCGGCGGGAGGGAACCAGGCGCCGGTGCTCCCAGCCCGGGCTCCGGGGGCCGGGGCAGCGCCCAGCCCGGGCTCCGGGGGCCGGGGCAGCGCCCAGCCCGGGCTCCGGGGGCCGGGGCAGCGCCCAGTCCGGGCTCCGGGGGTTGGGGCAGCGCCCGCGGTGCCAGGCTCTGCTGGCGGCGCCGCCGGTGCCGCGGGGGCGGGGTCAGCGGAGGGCGGGGCGCCGGGCACCGAGGCCGCCAACGCCGCCGCCGCCGCTGCCGCCGCGCTCGGGCGAGCTCGGTGCACTCCCTCCGCGGCCGCCGAGCCGAGCGGACGCCCTCCGGGCCAGCGGCAACCTCTGCGCTCCCCTATCATGCCCGGGGCCCGGGCCCTGGGCGCCCAAGCAGCCAGAACACCATGCCCGAGGGCGGCGGCGGCGGCGAGGGCGCGGAGGTGCCTGCCCTCCCGGACGGCGAGCCGCTGCGAGAGGAGGTACGGGCTCCGAGTGGCGGAGCCGGGCCGGTCGGAGCGGGCCAGGGAGGAAGGAGGGCCAGGGAAGGAGCGAATCCCGGACAGGGGCTGGGTGGGAAGTCAATGACGTCATCGGGGTAGCCTGCGCCCTGCGAGGGGTCGGGGCCTAGGGACCCGCGTGGGTGCAGGGGTGGGGCATCTGGGAAGGGATGGGGGGGGCGATTCCCGCCCCCGCGTCCCCTGCTCCAGCTCCCCCTCCGTGACGTCAGCGCCTGGCATCCGCAGCGCTGCCCTCGCCCCCAGGGCCCAGGGGTCAGGCCCCCAGCCTGTCCTGGCTGCTCCCGAGGCGCCAGGCAGAGCCTGCAATGCAGCAGCGGGAGCAGGCACTGGGGGGCGGAGGTAGAGATGGTGGGGGGAGGAAGGGAAGGAGGAGGGAGGAGGCCTCTGGTACCCCTGCTTCCTCACCCAGCAGGGAGGGCCTGGACCGATGCTGCTGGCTGGGACCCCCCCTCCATGGCTCCTCCTCAGCCCTGGCTGAGGGTGTGGGGTGTGGGGTGATAGGGGTGAGTGGGTCTGTGTGTTTGGGTGAGTGCTGTGTGCCTGTCGGTGTGTGAATGCCCGTCCGCACTCCCCACACCTTGGGTGGGACACGTGGGCCCTCAGGTCAGGGGCCGCCTGGCTGGGTGAAGCGGTCATGTGTGCGTGCATGTGAGTGTGTTTCTGTAGGAGCCCCTCCTCAGAGCCAGCCTGTGGGGGTGGGATGTACACTGCGGCCACGTGAGGGCCTGGTGTGCTCCGGACGTCAGTGAATGTGTGACATGTACGTGCATGCATGTGTCCTGTGGTGAGCGTGTGCGTGTGTGCCTGCACAGTGTCGCGGTGCAGGGATGGGGTTGTGCCAGGCACAGGTGTGATGTGGTGTGTCCTGGCTGAGCAGCAGCACGCACATCTGGAGCTGAGTGTGATGAGTGTGGGTGGGAGGTGTGCACGGGTGGGTGCGTGCATCGCGGGCTGCGGGGCGGGGCGGGTGCAGGGGGAGGGCAGGCCTGGGGCCGGGCTGGGCGTGGCTCCTCCCCTCCTGGGTCTCTCCAGGCCTGTGGGCTGGAGTGGGAGAGGCGGCCCACTAAGCCACCTGTGCTGTTTCCACCAGACCCTCTCCCCCTCCCTCCCTCCTCTCCCGCCGGCCTCCCTCTCTCCACAGGCACCTTGGGGGTGGGGCGGGTGACAGGCTGGCAGTGCTGCCAGGAAGGGTGGGTGAACCCTCTGGGCGGGGAGCGGCCCTGCCGCCCAGCAGCTGTGCCCACCCCCTCCCGCAGCACAGATGGGAGCGGAGGCCGGCACTCCGCCTGCTCCCCAGACTCACACCTCCCCCGTGCCCGGCTCTCCCTCCTTCTCGTCTCCGTAAGAGCCGCTCCGGTCTCCGCTGTCCCTGGTGGACCCAGAGGGCGGAGGGAGCCTCAGGGGGACAGCAATGACCTTTATTCCCGCGGCCAGACCCCGGGCCGAGCTCTTCACACACATGATCTCACCGAGTCCTCTCAGCAAGCCCAGTGCCCAGAGGAGGAAACTGAGGTCCAGAGAGCGTGAGGGGCCCGCCCCAGTCACACAGTGAGTGGAGGAGCCGGCACGGGGGCCCTGCCGCCTGGCCTCCCACACCGGCGGGTCTGGCATGGAGGCCCAGAGGGGGCAGGGGTGTGACCAGGACCACAACACCGAGAGTTTGGGGCAGAGCGGGGACCAGAGCTCAGTTTTCTCAACGGCCAGGGAGAGGGTTCTTCCTTCTTGGCAGAGATGGGTCCGTTTTGACCTCGATGCCCTTGGCTGAGAAAGGACCCCGCCCAGGCAGGCGGGGGCCGCCGGGCCTGGGTTTGAGTCCTGCCGCTCTCCTGTGAGTTAGCTAGGAGGGTGAGGCCTGGAGCCGGTTCTGCAGTCTCTCGGAGCCTCAGTTTCCTCATCGGTGGCACGGGAGCCCAGTGCCAGCCGCCCTGACGCCCTCCCTCTCTGCCCGCCCGCAGCAGCGGCCCCTGAAGCAGTCGCTGGGGAGCTCCCTGTGCCGCGAGTCCCACTGGAAGTGCCTGCTCCTCACGCTGCTCATCCACGCGTGCGGCGGCGTGGTGGCCTGGTGCCGCCTGGCCACGGTGCCGCGGCTGGTCCCGGGGCCCGAGGCGGCCCTGGCGCGCGGGCCCGGCGCGCCGCCGCCCACCTACGCCGCCAGCCCCTGCTCGGACGGCTACCTGTACATCCCGCTGGCCTTCGTGTCGCTGCTCTACCTCCTCTACCTGGCCGAGTGCTGGCACTGCCACGCGCGCTCCCGCCGGGCGCCGCGCACGGACGCGCGCACGGTGCTGGCGCTGGTGGGCCGGCTGCGGCGCGCGCCGCCCTGCGTGTGGTGGAAGGCCACCAGCTACCACTACGTGCGGCGCACGCGCCAGGTCACGCGCTACCGCAACGGCGACGCCTACACCACCACGCAGGTCTACCACGAGCGCGCCGACAGCCGCACGGCGCGCGCCGAGTTCGACTACTCGGCGCTCGGCGTGCGCGACGTGTCCAAGGAGCTGGTGGGCCTGGGCGCGCACGCCGCCACGCGCCTGCGCTTCTCCAAGCGCTTCAGCTTCGGCAGCGCCGAGGCCGAGGCGGCCTACCTGGCGCAGCGCGCGCGCTTCTTCGGCGCCCACGAGGGCCTGGACGACTACCTGGAGGCGCGCGAGGGCATGCACCTCAAGGACGTGGACTTCCGCGACTGCCTGCTGGTCTTCGCCGACCCGCGCCGGCCGCCCTGGTTCGCGCGCGCCTGGGTCTTCTGGGTCGTGTCGGCCGCCACGCTGTCCTGGCCGCTGCGCGTGGCGGCGGCGTGCGGCACGGCGCACGTGCACTACCAGGTGGAGAAGCTGTTCGGCGCCGGCGAGCCCGGCCGGCCCAGCGCGCCGCCGCCGCTGTCGCGCGTGGCCACCGTGGACTTCACGGAGCTCGAGTGGCACATCTGCTCCAACCGGCAGCTGGTGCCCAGCTACTCGGAGGCCGTGGGCATGGGCGCGGGCGCGGGCGCCTTCCTGCGCGGCTGCCAGCGCTGCCGCCGCTCCGTCAGCAGCAGCTCGCTGCCCCCCGCGCGGCCCGCCGGGCCCCGCCTGCCCTTCAGCCGCAGCCGCCTGTCGCTGGGGGCGGGCGGCCGCGCGGCGCCCGGCGTCTTCCGCAGCCTGAGCGGGGGCCCGCCCGGGCGCCGCGGGGAGGACACGGAGCCGCTGGAGAGCCCGCCGAGCTACGAGGACGCCCTGTACTTCCCGGTGCTCATCGTCCACGGGGACGGCGGCTGCCCGGGGGACGGGCCGGGCGCGTTCTGAGGCCCCGCGGCCCCAAAGCGGCCCCGCCCCGCCCGCCGAGGCCCGCGGGCCCAGGGGCCGTCCCAAACGGACCGAATGCGGGGCCCCCTGGAGCTGAGGCTGTGAACTGTCCCAGCACGGCTCCTGCCTGCCGCCCTGTCCCGCCCCTGCGATGGCACAGGATCCGCCTCGGGAGTCTGTCTGTCCGTGCAGGGGAGAAAGTTTCCAGAAAGCTGACATGGAGGCGTCCTGGGGCAGCTGTTGCCTCCTGAGGGTCCTCCCTGCGCGGCTGAGGCCACCCTGGGAGCCCCGGAGCAGCCCAGAGCACAAACTGGTGGTTTGGGGCCAGGCCCGGCTGGGCTGACGTCCGTGAAGCTCAAGAGCTGATTACGGTAGCACCAGGGCCTTGGCCCTACCACCCACCCAAGGTCCCCATCCTCCCTCCCTGCCAGCCGCCCCCCTGCCCTCCGGCCTCAGGCCAGCCCCTGACCAGCCCCTGCAGCTCGGCCCCTGTCCTGGGAGCCTGGTTCTTACAGCACAGCCCTGCCCGCCCCCCCCCCAGCCCCCTGGTGGACTCACCCCCCATCCAGCAGCCCTGTAACCCAAGCTCCTTCTCCGGCCTCGAACCACATTCCCTGGTCCCTGGTCCCCTCCCCCCAAGTCCAGGTCTGCCTCCATCAGCCACGCACACACCCTCCGGGCTTCGCTGCTCTTCCTGTTCCTGGTGACCACAGGGCCACAGGGCATCCGAGGGGCCCCCGCCTGACCAGCCTCCTGGACGATGCCCTCGCTCTGCCATGGAGGCCTCTGCGTCCCTCATCAGTGGGGCCTGGCCCAGGGCACACCGTCCCTCTCCCGGGAGGAAAGAGTAGTCCCTTCCCTTCCAACTGGGGCTTCCACCCCCTCTCAGGGGCGGCGGGGGAGGGAGGAGACAGTGGAGACGCAGATAAAATAAAAGGTGTAACGTGGACGGTCTCCTCTGTGCATTCCTGAGCAGTGGGCCATGGGCCGGCCTGGGTTGTGGGAGGGCACAGGGTGTCGCGCTCCGGTGACCCCGGGGGCGGGGGAGGCTGAGAGGGCCCCTCCCTGCCCAGCCCGGGCCTGAGGCTCAGGTTGAGTGGCTGAGCCGCTGACTCAGTCGGCTGGTATCTGGGTCAGTGCTAAGGCGCGGCCCACGGGGTCCCTCTCGCAGCCCATGGGGCTTCCGTTCTGCTGCTGGGCGAGGACCGGGAGCGGTGCTGGCCCCGGGGCGGGGAGGGAGAGCTGTGGCCCCTGGCGCTCCGTTCCCCGGGGGCACGGGCGCGAGCGGCTGGAGAACACGGAGCGGAAATAGCCAGCCCCCTCCGGACGGGCACGAGGACAGCGCGGGGCCACGCAGAGCCTCGTCCTGGCGGAGCTGGCGTGGGCCTGCACGTGGCCTCCTCCCAGGAGCAGCTGGGCCAGGGGGTTAGGAGCCAGGGCTGAGGGGCACGTGTGGGTGGAATCCAGCCCGGCCCGCTCCTCCAGCCCTGGCCTGGCACTGCACCCACCGGATAAGGGACCTTGTCTCTAACTCGGGAGAAGCTCTGTAAGGGTGAGGGGTGGCCCTGGAAGGGGGCCGGGAGGGGGCGGGGTTCTCCGGGGCACAGACAGGGCAGAGGGTGTGCTGGGCGCTGGGACACGCCTGCATGAGGCCTGGGTGCAGGCGAGGTGAGGACGCAGAAGCAAAGAGCGGTGGAAGGGTTGGCTGAGGCCTCCGACACCAAACCCCCAAATGTGTGCTTAACCGGGGACACGCCGGAGCCACGAAGGTGGCTGAGCAGGGAAGTGACAAGGTCAGGCTGCGTGTTAGGGTTTTAGGCAAAAGCCTGGCTGCCCACTGGCCACGGGGGGAGGGGTTGGAGACCAGGGCTCCCCCTGGCATTGGCTCGCTGCCTCTCTTCTTCGGGAGGAAGTCAACTGTGTAAAGAAGCGACGTCGGCCGAAACCGGTGTGGCTCAGTGGATAGAGCGCTGGCTTGGGGACTGAAAGGTCCCGGGTTCGATTCCGGTCAAGGGCGTGTACCTTGGTTGCGGGCACATCCCCGGTAGGGGGTGTGCAAGAGGCAGCTGATCGATGATGACTCTCTCTCATCGATGTTTCTAACTCTCTGTCTCTCTCCCTTCCTCTCTGTACAAAATCAATAAAATATATTTAAAAAAAAAAAAAAAAAAAAAAAGAAGAAGTGACGTTGATGGGACACTATGGCGCCCAAGCATCCACGGAGCTGAGTGGGCGGGGGTCGATGTACTGGCTCCAGCTCCTCTGCAGGGGGAAGATTCCCCTCTTCCTTGGCCTCCGCTCCTCCCCCCCAACAGAGCCCCTAGCCACTCTCCATTCGCCTCTCCTCAAAAACAACCCGCTTCCCCCAGAGGCGGCAGGCCCGGGGGGAAAGGCGGGCCCTGGCACCCGCACCGCAGCCCGGGTGTCTGGCGGCATGTCTGGCCTTCCTCGCCCGTGTAGCGCGGCTTCGTTTTGGCACATGAACTACAGACAGAATGTGTTGCAAGGGCTTTCTAAGGATTCCGCCTTCCGTGTGGAATGCGGATGTGAGAGTTGGAACTCCTGCAGCTTTCCTGGGTCAGGGATGACCTTGAGGATTCCGGCCAAGTGCTGAGGCTAGCAGAGCTTAACAACTCTCCCCCAAACGGGGCGGCTTAGAAAAATGAACAGTCATTATTGTCTCTCCTGGTTCCTGGGGGCCAAGGATTCAGGAAAAGCAAACAGGGCGGCTTCTCTCTGCGCCTGGAGCCTCTGCTGGAAGACGGACAGCGAGGGGCGGGTCAGCGTGAGGCTCCTTCACCCCCGGAGCTGGCGGTTGGTGCTGGCGGAGGGCGGAGGGCCGAGGGCCGAGGGCCGAGGGCCTCACTAGGGCTGAGGCCTGGCACTCACAGAGGGCCTCTCCTCGCGGCTTGAGCTTCCTCAGAACGCGGTGGCTATGTTCCCAGGACAAGGCACCAGTGGGGTGGGGGCTCTGCCCGTTTCTACAGGTCAAGGTGATTATGAAGGTCCCAGGAGTTTCAGGAAAGGGGACATGAGACCCCACCTCTTACCATGCCAGCATCACGTGGTAAGGTCAGCATGTGGGACAGGGCACGTGCTAGCGGCCTTCCTCAACAATGCAGCCGCTCACCGGCCAAACGCCTCTCCTGTCTGACCATCTCTGCAGGGTGGTCTGCAAAAATGAATGCCAACCTTAATATATTGTATTGATTTTTTTACAGAGAGAGAGTTAGAAACATCGAGGAGAGAGAAACATCCACCAGCTGCCTCTTGCACACCTCCAACTGGGGATGTGCCCGCAACCAAGGTACATGCCCTTGACCAGAATCGAACCTGGGACCCCCTCAGTCTGCAGGCTGATGCTCTATCCACTGAGCCATACTGGTTAGAGTGAAAGCCAACCTTTTATGTTGCTGTTCTGAGGGAGAACAGTGGTGGCGTGTCAGAGGTGGGCCTGCTGAGGACAGAGTGACCTGCTCTGGTCATTCTGTGTGTGTGTGTGTGAGGGGGGCCATCTGTGGTAGATTAAATGGGGCCAGAAATTCTTTTTATTTGTAACTAGTAGCCCTGCACACAAATCCGGCGCCAGTACCCCACCCTCCTATAGTTACCTCTCCCACGCCCCCCTCATAGCTTGCTGCCCTGCCCCCTCCTGTAGCTCTCCACCCCACCCTCCTGCTGATCTGTGACCCGGATGTTAGTTGGTCGTTGTGCTTCATGGCGTAAAGACCATTTGCACATTACATCTTTATTGTATAGGATTGATAACGGAGAGAGAGGAGAGAGAGATGGAAACATCAGCGATCAGAGTCATTGATTGGCTGCCTTTGGCACACCCTCCACTGGGGATGGAGCCTGCACCCCGACATGTGCCCTCACCGGGAATCAAATCCGCGACCTCCTGGTTCACAGGTCACCGTTCAACCACTGAGCCACACCAGCCGGGCAGGGCCACAGATTCTTTGCTCCTCCTTCCCTCCAGCAGGGGAATCCATTTCCTGGACCCCATTCGGGCCGGCTGGGCGCGCTTTGATCCACAGAACGCGGCGGGAGGCAGGCCGTGCAGCTGCGGGCCGGGCTGCGGGGCCAGGAGTGTCCACCTGTGCTCCGCGGACTGAGGCCAGCTGGGAGGACGTCCTGCCTGACAGACCACACACAGGAGGACGGAGGTCCGGCCCCGAGCCAGCACGGCTTCCAGATGTGAGAGTGAGGCCAGGGGACTCGCCCCAGATGTCCGGAGGCCCCAAGCCCAGAGGCCCGGAGCAGACAACCACGTTGATTCTACACAAACTGCTGCTGTTCAGAAGGGCGGGAAATAGAAGTCCCGTTTCTCACTGTTCGGGGTGACTTGTTGGGCGTATCACGCACCCCGGAGCCACGGCCACCGCCCTGGGAGGGTCCCTGGCCCGAGGCGGACTCCGTCTGCCCGAGGAGCTCGTCTCTGATGGCGGCGCCGAGCGGGCTAGCCTTCAGAAGCCCAAGGTCACACTCAGAGGTCGGGCGCGTTTTTCTTCTCTGACCGCCGTTTTAAAACCCGATAAAATGGAGCTGGCCAGAATAAAAATACTGACTTCCTTTCAGTAGAGGAGCTTCGCTTTGAGAGCTATAAAAGCACAACATGTTCTAAAGGCAAGACCCGTGTGTTATAAAAGACTGCGACGGTATAAAGGCTAAGACTTCAGTAAAGAACGAGCCCAAAGCTCGAAAAACCTTCTAAACCTAATACCTATCATGCCAACATTCACGAGATAGGACATGTGTGAAGGGAGGAGCCCGTGTCCCTCCTGCTTCTCGAAAGCAAGGGCAGGGGGTGCTGGGTCTCCCGGGGGAGTAACTTCCGAGCCCCCAGCCGTGGGCACAGCGGGAGCCCCGTCTTCAGCCTGGACCTCTGCTTTGAGCTCTGGGTTCGAGCACCCACTTGCCTTCTCAAACAGTCCCTTTGAGTGACCTCTGAACCCTACAAACTCCCGGCCCAAAACAGCCCAGTCCCTCTCTCCCAGTGGCTTCTCGCCTGTCCCCGCCCCTTGAACAGCACCACCTGGGAGGCACACCTGGCCGTCCTTCCTCTCCCCACACCCGGCCTGTCCCGGGTCCTGTAAGTCCACTCTCCTCCACCTCTCACCGCCTCCCCCACCTCTGCCTCCGCCTGGCTCCAGGTCACCGCCGAGCGGTCGCACCTCCCGTGTCCCCGCAGCTCTCTCATCTGGCTGCTCGGTGCCCTCGACCCCCGGGGGAGCTGCTGGCCCTCAGAGTGTCTGATAACTCTGGATCAGCGAGTGAAGGGAGGGTTACTTCCGTGCGGGGCTCCCGCCGCCTCCGCCTGACGCTGTGCCCGCAGGAGCCCCGTCCTCACGGCCGTGGGCGCCGTGTGTGTCAGTGTCCGCAGGGCGCAGCCGGAGCGGGCAGGCAGCCTGCGGGTTCCGCAGGGAGCACCTGCGAGGGCAGAGAACAAAACCTACTTTTCATTATTTGCTCGTTAGCGAGAGAAGCTGCCGCTTCACAGCTGCCTGCCTCCCTGCGGGAGGGGCTCGGCGGGTGGAACACTGTCCTGCGCACTGAGAGGTTGCGGGTTCGGTTCCTGGTCAGGGCACACACCTAGCTTTTGGGCTCGACTCCCCCCCGCCCCCCCCCCCCCCCCCCCCGTCAGGGCTTGTAGGGAGGGCAGCCGATGTTCTCATCGACGTTTCTCCTCCCTCCGCACCCTGCACCCTCTCAGTGTGTCCTCGGAGGGTGTGAGACGGAAGCTGCCTGCCGCTTTAAGCCGGCCGGTGGGTCTGTGGCTGGGAGCCTTCCCCGCCCCCGCAAGAGACAAATCTGCGGGCATGCGGCCCAGGGACAGCCAGATGGGTGCTCCTGCCTTGGGATGTACATTTTAGGCAAAGTCTCCGAGAGCCTGGGAATGGCTGGGGCACGCATCTGGCAGGGCCTGGTCACCCGCCCGGG